TGTAAACGTGTACACTTACTGTGTTTATGATTATGGACTGTAAACATGTACGATTACTGTGTTTATGATAATGGACTGTAAACGTGTACGATTAGTGTGTTTATGATAATGGACTGTAAACGTGTACGATTAGTGTGTTTATGATAATGGACTGTAAATATGTACGATTACAGTATGTCAATACAGATTTGCTTACTGTGTTTATAATAATGGACTGTAAACATGTACATTTACTGTGTTTACGATAATGGACTGTAAATATGTACACTTACTGTGTTTATGATAATGGACTGTAAACATCTACGTTTACTGTGTTTATGATAATGGTCTGTAAACATGTACGTTTACTGTGTTTATGATAATGGACTGTAAAAATGTACACTTACTGTGTTTATAATAATGGACTGTAAACAAGTACGTTTCCTGTGTTTATGATAATGGCCTTTAAACATGTACGTTTACTGTGTCTATGATAATGGACTGTAAGCATTTACGCTTACTGTGTTTATGATAATGGGCTGTAAACATGTACGTTTACTGGGTTTATGATAATGGACTGTAAGCATTTACGCTTACTGTGTTTATGATTATGGACTGTAAACATGTACGCTTACTGTGTTTATGATTATGGACTGTAAACATGTAGGTTTACTGTGTTTATGATAATGGACTGTAAACATTTACGCTTACTGTGTTTAATTTGAGTAAGGAGCACTATTAAACGAAAGCTATTTCTTTTCGACGTTGGCCTAATGTACTTCTGTGTTTATTGGTTTTTGTTTCGTTTTTGTTTTGTTTTGTTGTGTGGTTCAAAGATTTATAAAGATCCATTATTGATTCGCTTCATACAATACAACACCGTTAACACAAACATAAACTATATTTAACTTACATTAATTACAAACAAAATATTTCAACTTAAATTAATCACTTCCGTTGGTCCGTATATTAGTCCAGGGTGAGGGTTGGAAGGTCTTAATGTGGGTGGAAATCGGAGTACCCATAGGTGACCCCATAACCTTTCACGACTGATCGCGGAATCGAACAACAGCCTGATTGGCGAAAGTTGAGAGTGGTACCACTTCTCCACCCGTCTACACTACCCGATATGTATATGTATATATTAATCACATAATGTGCTGTGTTATCCAGGTCATATTTTTAGCGTATTAACCCATGTCATATGACCCATCAGCCCTGTGATTGGTTGTAAGTTTCAATTGTTTCAATTGTGACGTTACGCATAGGACAAGTGCATGACGTCACAGACTTACGCACTGGAGTCAAAATGGTGGCTTTTTCCATTACAAAGTTGCATGAAAATTATCATTGTCATGTAAGATCCTATATTTCTGTACTTCTTTAATAGCACAAAGAGAGTAACTTTGTACGGCTTCATTACGTTAATGAATGTTGAGATGTACCACAACTTCACAAATATGTTCCCGACGTTCGTTTCAGATCCCAAAGACCACACTCTGTCAGTTTTACACTGTTCCAGGCAGCCATTCCTACATGATCTTTACAGAAAACAATTGGTCGGTACGAACACAGCTCAACCTGACATATCAACGTTATAAGCAAGCACTGGCGACCAGAGACATTGGAGAAGGTAAACGAAAATATTGCCTATATTCAAAACCGATCGGCCAGCCTTGTCGTCGCATTAGCCTTCGATATCATTGCTGTGCTGACGACACGCGAATTCACATGGTCATCAAACCACAGGACAGTTGTGATACAATTTCAAAAAATCTGGAAGCACATTTGACAGACATCAGTGCCTGGTTGAACGCCAGCATGCTAGAGCTTAATCAGGAAAAGACGGAACTAATCGTCTTTTCCCCAAAGTGTCAGCAAACAATGGCTCTCCAGCTGAAAGGTGCCAGAACTATTGAGACTGTTCCAGCTGTTAAAAACATAAGGGTATACTTTGATAATTCACTGATCATGGCGAAACAAGTGAACGCTATTGCCAAATCATATCACTATCAGATCAGGAAGATCGACTGTATCCGCCAGTTTATAAGTGCGATGCAGAGGGTACAGATCACTGCATTACGTCTAGTTACTCGTACTCGAAATAGAGAGCACATCACACCTGTGCTATATTCATTGCACTGGTTACCTGTAGGATACGGGTCGCAATACAAAATTTTGGTGTACACACTCAAGGCACTGAATGGAACAACTCCCCAGTACCTACTGGAGCTTTTTAACATATACCAGCCGTCACGATTACAATGTGTGTGGGGGCGGGGAGCGGCAACGTTACGGAATAGGTTACCATCTGCTAATAGAAAGTCAAAGATCATGGTCAAATTCAAGAAGGATATAAATAACCACATCTTCACGTCTGCATTTTAGGCTCTCTTCACAGACGTCATATACACCCCAACCTTTATGTATTTATGTATATGCATATTGAGATGGTACTCTTCTTTATTTATGATGGTGATTTGTATGCCTTTTTTGTTTATCAATTATAACTAATACTATTATCCATATGTTGTAAAGCGCTTTAGAGTTATTTTACAATTTATATAGGGCGCTATATAATGTTGTATATTATTATTATTATTATTAGATTATAAGATTATTAGTATGATGTTGTTACTGCTGATATACCCTGTTTTACTAGTAAACACCTTTCGATTAATTTGATATAAGTCTGGCATCAAATATTCATCATTACTAAAACTATAACAATAGCAGTAAATGACAAAAAATAGACACGGTGATGCGTATATTTTATATATACTAACCAAATGCAATTACTTAATTAGTCACGTGAGTAACGTCACCTGTTCATGTGACAAACATGGGTATCTTACACTGGTTTAGGACTAGACAAAAAAATAGTCCAATCCATGTTTAACAAACAATGACTCTTGTAGAATAATTCTTTATCAATTTACTTGTGTTCCGTCTTTGCGTATTGCAGAGTTATCTTCTCTTGGGAGCAGGCATTGATTGTTACGTGATTGGTTTGCGTGAGAAAATTACGTCGTTTTCTCAAAAATTGATGACGTTACTCTCACAAACCAATGACGTAACAATCAATACTTGCTCACAAGAGAAGATAACTCTGCAATACGCAAAGACGGAATATGTGCCTATCAGTAATGAATCATGCAACCAAACACTGCTTATTGACAGAAACAGCACATACCATGCGCTTCTCATTCCAGACCAAGATGAAGTGTTGATGACAAAATATGTCGATGGTAGTGATCTTGCACAGTTTACTGCAAAGATAACTGGTGAAATGTCAGCATCCCGAAACACTGGTATTCCTCCTGACTTGGGATTGGAGTATGGCATCACACAACTGAAGCAATTGTGGTTTCTCACCAAACAAACGTAAACGTGATTTTGTTAATTTTGGTTCGTTAGGAAAAACTATCATTCTGTATCATACATGTATTTCTGACGAAATTGAGGGCAGATACATCCTCCAAAGAAGTGTAATGCTAATTATGAAACATTTACAATTTATTATATATTTTTTCACCAGATTGATGAACTAAGAATACATTTATATTGATCATGCTCATATAAACAATTGATTTATTAATATTCGTCTAGACAACCTAATTATTAATTAGAAAATTAATTTTATATATAATTTCATAGATTTACAAATGCAGAAGAACATCTGTATATTGATATTACTCACCCAGACAATCTATTAATTAATATAAAGTATTTTTGTGGGTGAAAAAGAAGAAACATATATATAGAAGAATACATATGTATATTGATAATGGTCAGCCAGACGATCTATTAATTAATGAAATATTTATAGGTGCGGAAGAATATATATGTATATTTATAATGGTCAGCCAGACAATCTATTTAATAGAGTATTATTTATAGGTGCAGAAGAATATAATGTTTATTGATAATGGTCAGTCAGACAACCTATTTAATAAAGTATTATTTATTGGTGCAGAAGAATATCTATGTTTATTGATAATGGTCAGCCAGACAATAAATTGATTATTAAAGTATTATTTATAGGTACGGAAGAATATATATGTTTATTGATAATGATCAGCCAGAAAATCTATTTAATAAAGTATTATTGATTGGTGAAGAAGAATATATATGTTTATTGATAATGGTCAGCCAGACAATAAATTGATTATTAAAGTATTATTTATAGGTGCAGAAGAATATATATGTTTATTGATAATGGTCAGCCAGACAATAAATTGATTATTAAAATATTATTTATAGGTGCGGAAGAATATATATGTTTATTGAAAATGGTCAGCCAGAAAATCTATTTAATAAAGTATTATTCATTGCTGAAGAAGAATATATATGTTTATTGATAATGGTCAGCCAGACAATAAATTGATTATTAAAATATTATTTATTGGTGCAGAAGAATATATATGTATATTAATAATGGTCAGCCAAACAGTCTATTAATTATAAAATATTTATTGGTGCAGAAGAATATATATGTTTATTGATAATGATCAGCCAGAAAATCTATTTAATAAAGTATTATTTATAGGTGCAGAAGTATATATATGTTTATTGATAATGGTCAGCCAGACAATCTATTTATTAAAGTATTATTTATTGGTGCAGAAGAATATATATGTTTATTGATAATGATCAGCCAGAAAATCTATTTAATAAAGTATTATTCATTGCTGAAGAAGAATATATATGTATATTGATAATGGTCAGCCAGACAATAAATTGATTATTAAAGTATTATTTATAGGTGCGGAAGAATATATATGTTTATTGATAATGATCAGCCAGAAAATCTATTTAATAAAGTATTATTCATTGGTGAAGAAGAATATATATGTTTATTGATAATGGTCAGCCAGACAATCTATTTAATAGAGTATTATTTATAGGTGCAGAAGAATATGTTTATTGATAATGGTCAGCCAGACAACCTATTTAATAAAGTATTATTTATTGGTGCAGAAGAATATATATGTATATTGATAATGGTCAGCCAGAAAATCTATTTAATAAAGTATTATTCATTGCTGAAGAAGAATATATATGTTTATTGATAATGGTCAGCCAGACAATATATTTAATAAAGTATTATTTATTGGTGCAGAAGAATATATATGTATATTAATAATGGTCAGCCAGACAATCTATTAATTAATAAAATATTTATAGGTGCAGAAGAATGTATATGTTTATTGATAATGGTCAGCCAGACAATCTATTTAATAAAGTATTATTTATTGGTGCAGAAGAATATAAATGTATATTGATAATGGTCAGCCAGACAATTTATTGATTAATAAAATATTGCTTACCGGACAATCTATTAACTTATCAAATATTGTATAGATGCAGAAGGATACGTAAATTGATAACGCTGATGTAAATGCTAAAGGTTTAAATTATGCTGAGGGAGATTAATCGGACACAAACAATAACTCTACATGCTTATCGTAGACGTTTTGTAAATAAAATAAAATTGATCAAATGCAATCAATCATAAATATTTTAAAGAGTTTCTTATTTTATTTCACCTAAAATTTAATATTAAATTTAGGATCTTTTCGACCACCTGTCAGATTAATCGTTCCCGAATGTTTTCCCTAACCACACTTTCTAGGAAATGTTCACTATAGAAAACAATACCGCGCTCTCGCAGAAAAGGTTGTTTGACTCTATTTTTTTGTTCGAAACGTATTAAGAAATAAACGAAACTATCAAGAATGATGGAATTTAATTTCGTGTTAATTTCGAACAGACTATCGGAATTTAAACTTATATTCTGCATATTCTTCAAAGTTTTAGTAAACTATTATCTGTATGTAGTTTTCTTTTTGTCAACACACATATCAAAGGACACATTCATATTGATAATGAGTAATAAAAATGTGTAAATGTGACAAAGTGAGTTCTATCCAAAAGTTGATTTAAGTAAGTATTGGGCTTAATTTATCTCAGAGATGTCTACAGGTCTTAGAACGACATATCCGTGAAATATTTGACCCGGGGGAAACGTTAGATGCATACATGAGAGGCTATTGATGAGAGCACCGTGCATTCAAGAGTTTGGGGCTAAGTAATGGTTTTCGATATTCGATTACACAGTTATTTAAAATAAAAAAGGGACAGGTTTGCGCCACGAAGAGGTTGATTTTGGCCACGAGAAGGGAGAGGTCAAACTATTCATGCCAGAGAGATTGTGTTGTACGTTACTTAGCTGGAAGAGTGAGATACAACACGGAGGCTACGAATTTATATTATTGTACGTAGATGAGATGGTGATACCTATGTAAGTGTACTTGTAATGAGACCGTTGATTAACATTCCTAAGCTTAACAATGGCCGGCAGTAACGAGCGTTTACGGCTACTGCGTTACATAAGTTTATTGTCATTTATTATATATATATAAAGTGATATATTAGATGTTGAAACTTTTTTCTTTATTTTGCAGTTTTTCTTCTGCGTTTGCTGCAGTATGCGGCTTACTTGGAGGTCGACCCTTCGTCGAGTACATGCAAACATCGAAATCTCATTATTTTAAGGGAACGGTTACATTGCAATTGTAATGATTCCTTTCTTTATTCTTCAACCATTGGAGTTATTGAAATAAATCTGGTTCCATGAACTCAAGCATATAGTTCTATGAAGTCAAATCGGCTTCATTTATTCTACTGAAGAAAATACTTAAGTATCTATTTGACGTGGTTCGGAACTTAGTGGTGTAAGACGAACGCAATCCACAGACAGTAGAGATCAGATTGACAATTATAGATTATCACACTGTATTTTCAGTATTTGTCATGAGAACAATTTTCTCATCGATCGCACGTGGATAAAATCGAGAGGCCACCGCTGATGGAATCGAGATTTTATCTACGTGCGAGCGATAAGAAAATTGTTTGAACCTTAAAACTATGTAGAAAAAATATTTTTAAAACAATCCTATCGTCATTGGCTTTTCCATATGCACATCTACACCTGAAATGGTGTTGTTATTCTCACAATTTTTTCCGTTACTTTGTATTGATATGTTTATGACGGACTATTTTCTTACGCGGATCACTTTTGTGTGGACACTATTTCCGGTTTTGGACGTCATCTGGAACGAGCAGACGTTCGTTTTTGAGAAAATACGTTCCGAAGTGCTGGGGAATGGGAAAATCCTTTCTCAAGTTCTT